CGGTAATGCTGGAAGATTTGAGTACACCAAGGAATGAAACACAAATTCAGACAATACTACGTGAAGATGGAATTGTGAGCGAGGAACGGGGAAGACGAGACAGATGTGTGCTTTGCGGGAAAGCCGAAATAAGACTTTCTCGATGTGTGTATCATCAGAGGATGATACACACACAGTCTAGATATATGCACGGCCAGAGGGAGTATTGTCTACGGTTGTGTGTGTGTTCAAATTAATATCAAAAGTGAAAAAGAAAATACGTATGCAGAATAGAGAAACCTCTCAATCCTTTGAGTGCAAGAATATGTTTGTATTTAAAACAGGCCCAAACTAGTTTACCAAAATTATCAAGGGGAAAAGTTAACAGTACTGTATTTGTAGACGGGCAGATGGTACCACCTATAGAACAGATACACCTAACTGAAAATTTAAGCAATGAAATCATTTAAAGTTATAAGGACCAGAAAGTTTATCACAAATGGTCCCAAAACCCGAAATCTTGCCCCTCAAAAGAGGGCAACCTGTCCTAGCAATACTATAGTACTTATGTCACTTAATGCTCCTAATTTCTATGCTGCTTATGTTCAATGTTTCCCTGTGGATGGGGATCCACTACCACCTACAGGATGGGTATGGGATTCACTACCGCCCTCAGGATAGTTATGGGTAACCAAGTGTACCTAATTTCTCCTCATAGTTTCCTACCTTGTGCTTACAATTCACACTGTAAATTGTGCTATCTATATCTTGTCTGATTCATGTTGGGTATGTTAACAAGCCAAGTATGTTAATGTCCTGGCTTTGTGGCTGTTGACTCTTCCCTTTCACAGTACATACTCAAACGCTCTAACTTTTCTAACAAACGTGACCTAACATAAGCCTCTCAATCCTTTGAGTTTCCTACCCATTCTTTTTCTCTTTTTGTTTTTCTTATATTCCCATTCTTATACCCATTATTTGCCCCCTTCTTACACCCCTTTATTACACCCATACATACCTTCTACCTTGCTCTTACCTTCCTCTAGGAATTTCCTCCTCCTCTCTCTTGCGTTACTTAATGCCCGTGCTTCCCTCGTTGCTGTTACGGGCTCACTATAGCCCATGTTACATGGACATTTCTGAGTAGCTAAATCTAAGACAACAAAAACCTCGCTCCCATCACTATCGACTTAATGATCCAGGACGGACCGAAACGTCGTCACCTCCATCTTCTGCTGTGTGGTTTGGTCATCATATCTTCAGCCACGTTGTTGTGACTCATCGTCTGCATTATTATTGACAGTCCAAAGTATCATTACACTTGAAAAAAAAATGGTAAAAAACTTTCACACTATACAGAAAGTGATATATTTAATGTACGCTGTTACAATTTCACGTAAGCAATGTGGGACTATCTTCTTGAGCTTATCTTGAGATGATTTCGCGGCTTAGCATCCTCACAGCCCGGTCCTCGACCAGGCCTCCTTTTTGTTACACACCCCCAGGAAGCAGCCCGTAGCAGCTGTAACTCCCAGGTACCTATTAACTGCTAGGTAACAGGAGCATCAGGGTGAAAAAGACACTGCCCAGTTGTTTCTAACTCCACCGAGGATTGAACCCGGAACCTCAGGACCACAAATCTGAAGCGCTGTCCACTCAGCTCTCAGACCCCTTGTCACTCGGTTGTCCAGACTAGGCCGAGCTCAGATAACCAGTTATAAGGTTGTTACACTCATTAGAAACAATTAATTTTTGAAATTGTGCATAAATATGTAGACAGTAATATATCCGGACAGATCTGGAGAATTTCTTCAAAAGGCCAGATGCAACACGAATGAGGAGCAACGGATTCAAGCTCAACAAACAACAATGTAGGCCAGAAAACAAGACTTTTCACCCATTGGGTTGGAAACTCATGGAAATGCCTACCCACCGAAGCTGTAAACCTCAACTCTGCTGGATTTTAAAATACAGCTGGAAAAGATCATCAGGGCAAATGGAGGGGGGACCTTTGACAAGCCACCAGCTGCCTGTCCTCATCGTTTTATATTCAATTATATTCATGACAACTGCTGCCTGCCCCACAGGGTCACTGGGGCCAATGTCTCCGAGTGTCTAGCTCGGAGCCCATAAATTGCTCAACTTTTCTGCTCCATCACGGCCAATGTAGGTCACATATAATATTTTGTATTCCTTTCCTATGATCAGGACCATGGGAGGATCTCGTGTGAAGGCTGCGCAGTGCCAGGGTTATTGAGGAAGCTAGGCAAATAGGTATGTACAAGCAGTATTACAAAATACAGTACCTGAAAATGCTAGTAGGATTGTCTCTCTAACCTTCCCAAGAATCACACCAGGTGGAGTTTCCCAATCTATCCCATCAAGTGTGAAGCCACGTGGTGTGCAGCCGAATACATCCAGTTATCTATCGATCCATGATCAACCTCGGTGCCGACTTACTGGTTCCAACACTCAGTATTTCTGATAGTTACTAAGAACACCATACCCCCATTAAAAATGAATTTGATTTATAAGCTACTTAATACCCTAAAATCTCTGATGCAAATATTATTGAACTACTGGTAGATGCTGTGGGAAGTGAGAGAAATAGGTTCCCATGAAGTGTGAAAATTACATACAGGGTTCATCTAGTGCCAGTTCCTTGTTGACTGACATTAGCTTTGGATATAAAAAAAAAGAGTGGCCACAGAGACAAGTGTTTAGAGAACTGACCAACTTTAAAGATGGAGCAGAAAGTTAGGGGTCAAGTTGAAAGGGGTCAAGTTAAAAGGGGTCGTCTAGGTCAGCCAAGATTAGACCAGGAAGTGGTCACTTACAGTTTGGTCAGACGGTTTCGGTTAAAAAATTGATGGGGTTAGACAGTTGAAAAAAGAAAGATAGAGCTGTGTTTATCAGATTGTAAAGTTATCATAATATCTGATGTTCTCAAAGTGTCTGGGCCATGATATATTAATACAGTATAATAAAAGTACTAAGTACTTTTAAAAGTACTAAGTACTTAGTACTTAGTACTAAGTACTAAGTACTAATAAAAGTATAATAAAATATATACATGTGTGTAAAACACAAAGAAATTAACATATGATGAACAATGTGACAACGACACACCACAAAGAAAGGATTAAGATAGCAATTTTCTTAAGTACTTTTGTATTTAATAATACATCTTCAGAAGGATCCTTCTGAAGATGTGTTATTAAAGATGAAAATACTTAAGGAAATTCCTGTCTTAATCCTTTCTTCATTGTCTGTCATTGTCATATATATATATACATAAATACATACATACGTACACACACACACAAGCACATATTTTGTTAAATACGACCGCATTGCTGCCATTGTTGATCTTATAATGTAAGCTTTAATGCTTCTATTTTCTTACTCTCTGAATTAAGAAAAACAATCAGTTACCAAAACTCATGGTAAGGAAACTAGTGATTATTGAAGGGTTTATTTTATTCAATATTTCATTCCACTCTGGAACATCTTCAGGTAAGGAATGAATATACAAGGTACAAATTTATCTTAAAATACACATATGGAAGAGGTGAATTTGTGTGGGGTAAGGTGAAGTAATCAAACATTAGGGAAGAAGTGGAATAATGCAGACGGATGCCAATAAAACACTGGGTAAGGCTGTGAATGAGGAGATGTCGTTATCGGTATTGTTAGGCAAGGTCTGGGTCTGAGTGCAGGCAAGGTATCGAAATCACTACGCTGTATATTTAGGGCGAGTCTTTGTTTGATAGATTCCAGGATTTGCAGTCTTCACTGGTCAGTGTTTGATGCCAGGATTATTGTATTTTCTACTAGCATGTTCCTAGCGAGTGTTGTGTTATATACACTTTGTATATGATGTCTACGGGCACCAGCCTGTAGATGGCAGGTCAATTGTCTCGAAAGCTTTGTGGTGGTCATAACAATACAGTACTGTATAAATAGATTGATGGTGACATCCTTCATTGGAGCATGAAGGATGTCATGCCCCAATATGAGCAGATCTATGTCACCTTCAATCTTCTTATATTGGTATGACCACCACAAAGCTTTTGAGAAGACTGACCTGCCATCTAAAAGTTTTCTTCCCATATGTTTGATTACTTCACCTTACCCCACACAACTTCACTTCTTCCACATGTGCATTTAAGATAAATTTGTACCTTGTATGTTGACCAGACCACACACTAGAAGGTGAAGGGACGACGACGTTTCGGTCCGTCCTGGACCATTCTCAAATCGACTTGAGAATGGTCTAGGACGGAGCGAAACGTCGTCGTCCCTTCACCTTCTAGTGTGTGGTCTGGTCAACATACTTTAGCCACGTCATTGTGACTCATTGCTCGCTTGTACCTTGTATATTCCTTCCTTACTTGAAGATGTTCCAGAGTGGATCGAAATGTTGTAGAAAATAAACCCTTCAATAATCACTAGTTTCTTTCCATCAATTTCAGTAACATGATTGTTCTTCTTAATTCAAAGAGTAAAAAAATAGTCAGAAGCATAGAACACAAATACTGTACTATAAGATCAACAATGCCAGCAATGCGGTAATATTTAACCAAATATGCTTAAAGGAATGCCTGCTGCCCAAGTATACAAATATATATATATTGAACACATTTTACATGGTAAAAGCCAAACTTGATGGCCACATTCCTGGGGGCAAACAGTGGCTGCCTCAAACACGCCATACAGCTCTCTGCCAATATATACACACCCTACACAATCAAATATTGAATCCACAGCTTATTATAACAAGTTAATACTGTTGGTAAAATACCAATTACATCTGAATGCTGTCCATAACATATTACTGTCACTAAGACACTAACACTTGAGAAAGGTTCAAAGATGTAGTGTGTTTTAGGTGAAATGTGACCAAGGTAAGAGACTAGCTGTTATAAGGACATGAGCAAGGGAGACACAGCTATTCCCCATGACCACGGCCCTGCTGAAGTATAAATACAAGAAAAGTGTTTGACATAGCCTGGACCTACGTTGTTGCCGGGCTCCATGTTGCTGGTGTCGATAGTGCGGTAGATGCCAATGGGGATCTCACAGGTGGTGGAGCACAGCTTCTGGTAGAGACGCCCGTACGTCCTGATCCACAGGTCCTGCTTCCCAATCTTCATCTGCGGCAACACACCACATTTGACGCATCTTCCTAACTAGCTTTTTGTTGCCTGTTTATTGAGCACTTCGTTGAATTACATTACGACAGTTGATCAATCAAGCAAACACATAATCATGTATAAGTATAGTGGGACACTCACAATAGAGCACACCATACGTAAACACATGCACTCGTAACATACACACATGTGCTTGATCTTAAGATGCTGCAGAACATATGGAAGCTGAACACTGAGATGACCCAAAGTGATGAGAGGAACAACATTCTCAGTGTCAGGGTAGTGAGGAAGGTTAGAGCCGGAGAGAGATTCGAGGCTCATTCCATATATTGTTTAAATTGGAGGTGTGATAAAGCTTAACTACACCAGATGACTGAATGTTAAGTGGTGGGTCGAGGAGATAAAGCTCAAATCCTGGAAATGCAGATATGCGAGCGCATGTGTAATTACCCAAGTGTAGTTACAAGACGAGAGCTGCGCTCATGCTGTCACGTCTCCACAGTCCTCCGTCACATGATGCTTTGAAACTAGAGTACTGACAGTTTTGGCCACAACCACCTCACTTAAATTGTTCCAACAATCTACCACTCTGTTTGCAAAAGTGAACTTTCTAATGTTTTTCAACAGCTTTGTTTCCTTAGTTTAATTTAACCTATGTAGTCTCGTTCTTGAAGTTTCAATTTTCAAAAATTCTTCTTTGTCAATTTTGTTGATTCCAGTTACTATTTAGTATTTAGTATTTAGTGATCATATCGCATCTTTCTCTTCTGGCCTTGGTTTATTTAACACCACTAGCCTCTCCTCGTAGTTCTTGTTTTACAGTTCCGGAAGACATTTGGTTGGATGTCTTTGCATCTTTTTGAGTTTATGGGTGGGCTCTTTGAGATATAGGCACCATACAACTGCTGAATATTCCAATTTTAATCTCACAAAGGTTGTGAACAATTTCTTTAATGTCACCATCCATGTATTTAAAAGTAATTCTAAGGTTGAAAAGTGTAGCATGTGCTCCTTTCACAATGTTCATGTGGTCCTCAGGTGACAGGGTTCTTTTTCCAGAACCACCCCTAGATTTTTGTTTTGTTTTTTATTATTATTCTTTAAAGCTTTTTTGCATAAGCTGTACGTTGTGGGTTACCATATTTTTTCCTATTCCACATTCCGTAACAAGGCATTTATTGAGAAAATCCACTAGGCCTATAGATGGGCGCAAGCCTACGACCTATAGTCCTAGTGGTTTTTATCATTGACATTAATAATAAAGTATTTATTATACTCCTCAACATTAAACTTTTTCAGGTGTTCAGGTGAGGCATAGGTCAAAAAAGATTGGGAAACACTAGTACAGTATAAACAATCTAGCAGAAGTATTACAGTACAGTACCATGTTTGCTGAAGATGCTAAGCTACTGGAAATGATAAACGACTTCGATGACTGTCATGCCATTCAAGATAACCTAATAAAAATAATACATAATAATTCTTATTCAAAAGTATGTAAAAATAACAAAAGTAATTTGCAATTGTAGGGAGAGGACTCACGCGTACTAATGAAGCCACTATTACGCAAAGCATTTTGGCCAAAACATAAAAAACCATAGAAAAAATTGAACTAAAGGTGTGACGGGTAAACACTTAATCCTAGAAGAAAAGCAAGATATCTGGAATAGAATACTATTTGGAACCTGGAATGTGGAATAGGAGAAAATAGGCCACACACAACCTACAAATTATGTGGAAAGTCATTAAACCACGCTGACAAAGAGAGAGATCGAGGGAGGTGGTTCTAGATAGTAGACTGTCATTAGAAGGCCACATTAAGGACACTGAAGACCATATGCTACATTTCCCCACTTCAGAATCTCTATATATATATACATGGATGGTGATATATTAAAGAAATTGTTCCAACTTTAATGGGACTAAAATTGTAATATGAAGCAGTTGCACTGTGCCCATAGCTCAAGAAACACATTACTCCACTGGAAAAGGTGGATAGGCATGCTATGAAACAGCTTCTGGAACTGAAAAACTAAAGCTGCAAGAGGCTAGAGGTGTTAAACATACCAAAGCTAGACGATAGAACAAATGGTGATGTCATACAATATACAAAACAGTAACAGGAATTGACCAACAAAAATTCTTGTAAACAGCAACTTCAAGAACAAGTGGATAAGATTCCAACTAAGGAAACAAAGTTGGCAACAATACATTAGAAAGTTTACTTTTGGAAATAAGAGTTGTTAGAAAGTAAGAACAAGTGAGAAAGTGGTGAATGCCAAAACTGTTAGTAGTTTCCAAACATCATATGACAGAGTACCAGCAACACAGGACATCACAAGAGTAGCACACGAGGAGTCACAATAACGTGGCTGAAATATGTTGACCAAACCACACATTAGAAAGTGAACGGACGACGACGTTTCGATCCATCCTGGACCATTCTCAAGTCGATTGTGAATGGTCCAGGATGGACCGAAACGTTGTCGTTTCTTCACTTTCTAGTGTGTGATTTGGTCATCACAAGAGTAGCTTTCACTCTGTAACTACACTTGGGTAATTACACTCATAACAAAAGTGCAGAGAAGGTCTACACATTAGCATTTATTCTGAACATTTAATTATGTGTGAATTTGCCTGAACTTCAAAATATAAATCAGAGTGCATGCATCGGTCAACCCTCCAATATATTTAATATGCAGCATAAGTAAATTTGCACACATAAGTACCTTTTAAAGGTTTAATGCAATATACAAATGTTATATGCTACATATATTTACTTTATAAACTAGGCTACTAACAAGGATAATATTTAAACTATTGTAAATGCTCAAAAGTTTATCAGTAATTCAAATCAAATCCAAAAATTACTAGAATGTGGTATTCTCTCCAATAGGCTGAGCTCCCCAACCTTGTACATGCCACAACAGGCTAGGCTCCTCCCCCCTTATATATTCCACAACAAGCTGAGCTCCTCCCCTTATATATTCCACAACATTGTGTGAGGAGCCTATGCTATGCTTTCCAATGTCAGAATTTCTTTTACATTCATGGATGGTGAACTATTAAAGAAACTGTTTATAACCTTTGCGAGACCAAAGTTGGAATATGCAGCGGTTGAATGGTGCCCATATCTTAAGATGCACATCAACGAACTGGAAAAGGTGCAAAGACATGTAACTAATTGGCTTTTGGAACTGAAAGACAAGAGCTATGAGAAGAGGTTAGAGGCATTAAATATGCAAAAACTAGAAGATAGAAGAAAAAGAGGCGATTTGATCACTACGTACAAAATTTAACGGGAATTAACAAAATTGATAAGGGAGAATTCCCGAGACCTGGAACTTCAACAACAAGAGGTCATAGATTTAAACTAACTAAACAAAGCTGCTGAAGAAATTTAAGAAAATTCACCTTTTGCAAAGTGGTAGACAGTTGGAACAAGTAAGATAACGGAGGCCAAAACTGTCAGTAGTTTCAAAGCATTATATGATGAAGAGAACTGTACTGGGACGATGGGACATCTCGAGTGTAGCTCTCATCCTGTAACTAAACTTAGGTAATTACAACAAGCCTAGCTTCTCCACCTTGTACACTACACAACAAGCCGAGCTCCTCCACCTTGTATATTCCTCAACAAGCTGGGCTGCTCCATTTTGTATATAAACTTATAAAATAAACTTTCCCATCCTATACATCGTCCCGACCTACCGAGGTAAGGAAGCCGGAACCAGGCGCCTGGTCCACTCCAAGCAGCAGCCTCACGAACGTGATAAGATAGTCCTTGACGAAAGCCTGGTAGAGGAGTGTGTCGAGCATGCTGGCGGAGAAGACACTCCCAGCAGCAAAGGGCAGACGGAACATGTAGGAGATGTGCGAGCCTCGTTCCTTCTCCCGCTGTGTGGGGGAAAACCCAGTCTTGTAACACAAATATACACCACATCTACCTCTTAATCTTTAACTGTAGTAACTTGTGCACTAAATGATCAGCTAATAATAAAGTATTTCATGAAGGTGCCATCATGTAGAGGACGTGGAGAATGTTGTAATTTAACTTGTAATAATAGGACCTGTATTCCATTACAGGTAATGTACACATCACCCATGACATATACATTCATCTTTCACTTCTTGCAACAATTTATCTCTTCGCTTTACAATAAATAAATAAATAAGCATATTATGTGTGTGTGTGTGTGTGTAAGTAAATCACGAAAATTAACACGTGATGAAAAATGTGAGTGTCAGACCATGGAGGAAGAATTTAAACTGGCATTTCCTTAAGTAATTTCATATATATTAATTAAATTAAATTATTAATACATCTTCAGAGGGAATGATTTTGAAGTCATTCCTTCTGAAGATGTATTAATATACAAAAGTACCTAAGGAAATGCCGGTTTCCATTCTTCCTCCGTGGTCTGACACTGTCATATATATATAATGTGTTTTTAGGTATTATATATGTTGCATCAGTACATATTTTGATGCTTCTCTAGAATGACTATATTACAGTATGCTAATCTCTTGACCACGATTATGTAGTAGACTACATCCCTCCGGGTGGGTAAGTGAAACTAAAGTGTACTTTGTTGAGCACAATCAGCTGCTTAGCAGTGTAAGCTATGCTGAGCAGATTAAAGTAGCAGTCCTTGGGCCAGATTCACAAAAAAACTTACGCAAGCACTTAAGAACCTGTACATCTTTTCTCAATCTTTGGCGGCCTTGTTTCCAATTATTAAACAGTTAATGAGCTCTGACGCACCAAGAGTCTGTTTATAACAATAACAACAGTTGATTGGGAAGTTTTCATGCTTGTAAACTGTTTAATAAATGTAACCAAAGCCGTCAAAGATTGAAGAAAGATGTACATGTTCGTAAGTGCTTGCGTAAGTGCTTTCGTGAATCTGGCCCCTTGTCACCAAACCTAAACATTGGCTGGTATGGAAAAAAAACAATGTTATTTACCATAATTACAGCAATCAACAGGTGAGAGGAGATGGGTATATGAGCACCAAGGAACACTCCGTATTGGGCTCCCATGTCATGATAAAAGTGTTCACATGTACTGTATAATTGTTTGGATGCTAGCAAAAAAAAATGGATGTACTGTATACTCCACATAGTATACCCATCATCCTGGGCACTGATAGACACTTCACCAATGGGCACTTTTGGCTGTTTTCACATTGGTCTGACATCATCCACTGATGATGGTGTACATTAACCCCTGCACTGCGCACCTGTTTTTGGCAAAAACTTCATAGTGCAATTGTTAAGGACATATTTTTGTTGGTTTTATAAATGTTCAGGTAAAGTTAATGTCAAAATGTTTCTAAACTCAACTATTTTCATTTTAAAACACAAAGTGATGAAAACATTAAAAAAAACATTAAAATATAGCATAATTAAAAACAAACGGACAACTCTCGAAACAGCATGTCGTTTTGCGCAGCGCAGTGGTTAAAAGCGACCAAAAAGGCCCACAAGGTCCTGGGTAGAGACAAAAAGCTAGGTAATCCATATTATTGTTACAGATAGTGTAGACGTGGATGTGAAGGGCAAGGAGAAGATGTAATGTTATCTAATACTGTATCACTATCTGCTACAGCTAGTATGGCTTGCATCATCACCCACTACCGAATAATCCATCATCCTGCCCGAAACGCTGCGCGTACTAGTGGCTTTGCAAGAATGTAATTACTATGCTATGTATCCTCACAATCCCAATGTACCTTCTTGTATATATATAAAAAAAATAAAAAAATAAAACACTAGCTCTGTCAACAATGGCTCCCACCGAGGGTGGCAAAATTTAATGAAGTACTGTACTGTGCTAAACTGCATTTTAAATATTTTTTAAAATCTCATTTATATGAATATAAGTCACAATGCCATTACTTTGATTAATTTATTATTTTACTGTTGTTACACCATGATGTTCGAATAATCCACAATGGGCTTTAAATGACTAACATTCCACGTCCTCTTATATAAATACAATAACACATATAAATATAAAACAATGATTTTATTAACACACACACACATACACACACATTAGACTGTTACAAGAACAAGTCAATAAAATCATGCAATAAACAGGGGTGCTACCATGCAAAAGATTCTACCATGCACACAGTCCCAGAGCATGACAATGCAGCATAAAAGCCATAAGTGCATGCTTAATTAGACAAGCGTGTGATGGCCACCAGGGACTCTACAGTCCCACACACACACGTTCCTCCCATTTGCTCTTCAACATGCCCCAATTATTCCTATCTAAATGTTTGTTTTTGTCTTTTTAATTTGTTTTCTTGACAAAAATATCCTAAGCAACCCCCCCCCCACAGACTATAATAAGCAAAGTACATGTTCCAAAGAAGAGCAGATGGTAGACAAGAACATGTATTAGTGAACACCATTTATTCCGTGGCTTGAGCCCCAGCGAGTTCCCTCGATGCTATGGGGAAGTCAAGACTGGGACATGAAACAAATGGAAGAAAGTTAGTCAAAATGTGGCCAGTGTACAACAGCAGCTGCAGGTGAGCGGTGTAGCGGCCACGACCTCCACCACTTCTCCATCACCCGCTGAGTTTGTAAATGCTCTTTAACACTCAAAAAACAGAGTAACTTCAGTCTCTGCAAAGTTCTTTGGAATGGTTCAGATTTTTTCACCAGGTTTGTGGGGGAATTTTTAACTATAAACACACCACACAGCACTTAAGAGGTCTGTTTATACATTCAGGGTAAACCTAGAATATTTTCAATGCTTCAGCAATGTTAAATATCTAAAGACATCATCAGTGCCACAGAAATATATCTAAAATCACACGCTGATATATTAAATTAATCTTTAGTCTGTTTAGACGTAACTTAAAAGTATCAGGTGTTTAAACGATATATAGTCACTTGGTTCGCTCCAGAGTAACTAAAAGTATACACAATTGGTGATCTCGGGAGAGTGTGAGGGATGAGAGAGGGTGTGGAGGCGGGAGGTGGAGCTGAAGGGAGGTGATCATGCCGGCACTAGAGACGCTCAAGACTTGATCTCAAGTGACCATAAGACACAGGCAGATGATAGTGTCTCGCAAGGTCTCCTCCTAGCAGAAGACGACTTAAAAATGTCTTATAAAAAAGGTTTTATCAATGTTAACTACATTTTAATGTCAAACATTTAAAAAGAGGAGGAAGTATTAAGTGTGCCATTCATATTATTTTTCAATGTTAAGAAAAAAAAGGAGGGGGCGAGTTGGAAAATATCAAATATAGTAATCAAAATGAGACGTGACTCTAGAGCTCGCCGTACCAAGCATCAAGCATACCGCCGGGATGCAGCAAGCCTCAGGGTGTTACTGAGAAGGCAAAGTCAAACTTCACAAATGAGAAATTAGGGAGCACAAAGCAGCATGGCCAAGGTGGTGAGCCAGGCACGGGCAGGAGGTCCTTCAGACACTACGCGCTCTGTTGCCATAACCTCTGCAGTGCGGGTCCCTGGTTTCTCAGAAAAAAAGCCAAGAAATCCGAAAATTCAGTAAAGTGTTGTGGCCACACGACGCGGCAGGAAGGTTACCCGTTCCAGCTGATTAATGACTTCGGAGTAGTAAATGGGTCGCTGCGGCTGAGGGCGCCGCCGGAACGAGCGGGAGCGTGAACGACGAGATGCAGGGCGACCCCCAGGGCCCTGAGGCTGGCTACCCTGCAGGTTACACACAACACAGTCGCCGTCAGACACCTCCACACACACACACACACACCAACCACCACAACCCTCTCCCACCCATACTAGGATCACAGCTGCTGTCTTGCCTTCTTTATATACGAGACACAGCAAGAACTTCCCCCTCTATAATCCAATTTCACTATCTGATAAAGTCCTTATCCTTAAGTACAGGTACTGGTAATTTTTTATTTCAATGCCCAATTCACTCCACTCCCTATAAAAATAACTGTATACCCTCCAACCAGACCAGGCAATTCACTGGGTTCTGAAAAATGATTCTTCACTCCAAGTCCCTATATACCCATGCCCTCCATTCTCTACCAATCAGAGTGAGACATCAGTTTCCATCCCTACCTGCTTGCTGCCACTACCTAGCATCAGTTTGTCACTTCTAACTCGTCCAGTACTAAGGGTATTAGGCCAAAGGAAGCCATTGTACAGCCATAAACACTTGTCCCAATACTGGTTTATACATAGTCAGCCTTACACTTGTAAAGCTTGTGTGCTATTAATGCTATTTCTTGTGACACTAGCTCTCCACATATGTCAGTTGCTTAATTTAGAACCTGTACTTGAGGTCGATCTCAAACCCATTGTTGATGTGATGACTTATATTGAATTTTGTAACTAGCTCATCAAGATTGTAACTTGCTTAGCTAAATGAATTGTGGGGTTCAGTCCCTGAGCCCATTATGTGCCTCTGTAACCCTTTCCACTACCGCCCACAAGATGGGTATGGGGTGCATAATAAATAAACTAAACTAAAAACTCTTGTGATGTTCGATTACACAAGTTAGGTCAATCTATCTTTGTAAAAGTCCAACTAACGATAAAACTACTACACTAAAAAGCCTTAATTAATAACATTATCATGCTCTCAGAATTTTGTTAATTGCAAAACTTTATTTGCCCAATCATGAAAAACTGTTGTTGTTCACTGAAGTTCTTGAAAGTCTCATCTGAAGGGTACCAAAGTTTCTGAAAGTCAGATCTGAAGGGTACCAAAGTTTCTGAAAGTCAGATCTGAAGGGTACCAAGCCTACAGTTAATAGCAATCATTCATATATAAGATTAAACTCCCAACTACAAACTAGATGCGTAGGTATTTACGACTATAGTTTTCATAAGGACATCAAATCACTAAAAAGGTGTGAACATTCAATGAGCCATAAGAGATCATTTATTTTAGGGCACAAACAAGCAAATGAATAGTTTTTGATCGAGACTAGATCTGTCATAACACTTGTGGCAATGCCAGTGGTGTTGCCTAAACTCCACCAGTGTTGCCTAAACACCTCCAGTGTTAGTAACCTCTGCCAGTGGTGTTCACTAAAACTCCAACAGTGTTGCCTAAACTCCACCAGTGTTGCCTAAATTCCACCAGTGTTAGTAACCTCTGCCAGTGGTGTTGCATTAACCACAACAGGCATTGCCTAAACCAAAACCTACATTGTTTACAAATCATTCCATTTGTGTGATTTTGTTTTCTATTTCATATAGTTCATCAAGGAATGCATTTTATTTGTAAACCCTTAGACCGCGTCAAGTGCATCAAGTTCACCGTTTCTGCCCGAAATGCTATGTACACTAGTGGCTTTACAAGAATGTAAAACATGAATATTATGTACTCTCATAAACCCAATGTACCTTCTTGTATATAAATAAATAAGTCCTTTTTGTGGCTTTTTTGTATTTGATTCCTTATTTATAATCTGGCAGATCTCGATATACTATTTTTAAACAGCCGTACAGTTCAGGTGTTAAATGTGCAAAAACTGAGCTTCTGCAATAATGATGATAATGCTACACACAAGAAAAAATAACAACAACCTGGGGTCAATATGCCAGTGCGCTCATCAACATAATACTAGTGACAATGCTAGCATAAAGTAGGTACTAAATTAATGTTACTCATTTTAAAATACCAACAGCATGATGCTAATTTATATGTTCACTATTGATGTTATAGCAAGATGAGTTTATACAATGTTCTGTAAAACACTAATGTCCACGGGAGCAACTATATGCAGGTCAACAGGACAACACTTGTGTCCCCGGTAAACTTTGGCCCCAAGCGAGACGTCCCCCCACTCACACATTCTGTTGTGTTATGTGTGTGTGTGTGTCATCTGTTGCACCTTACCCTTTACACAGTCACACACACACACCCACCCATTTCTAAGTCTTATGGAGTTCCAGACTGGTTTCCAACATTTAGCACGGCTGTTTCTATATATTTTCAATCACAATGTACCGAGAGATGTAGTTTCCTTGATTTTTCCACTCTTTTTAGGGAGAACATTTTCCCACTATGACAATGCACTGCACATGTACAGAATTGACTACAGTGCTGGCAGGAATTTTAAATTCAAGAGTTAAACACACCGATACATTTCACCAATAAGAGTCCCTACCTTACAACAGGGAACGCTATTCCCGTTCTAGTATGCATCTTTTTCTTCTCAGTGGTATGCGGCTTGCACGAGTTTCTAGTGCTACTGTAATTACCTAAGTGTAATTACCTAAGTGTAGTTACAGGATGAGAGCTACGCTCGTGGTGTCCCGTCTTCCCAGCACTCTTTGTCATATAACGCTTTGAAACTACTGACGGTCTTGGCCTCCACCACCTTCTCACTGTGTCTACTTTCTCAAGACGCTGGTTTAAGTTTGCATTATCTAGCTGTCTTTCCCAGCACATATCAGTGAGCGCTTGGTTTATTTGTTTCCAGTTAATCCGTTTGTTATTAAAAATTGAATTTGCTAAATTCTCCTCCTCTTGGATTTGATGCTGGCTGCACAGGTCTATTGCCCATACTTGTCTGGACTTCAGTTAGGTTATGATCTGAGTAACATATATTTTTATCATTATGTCCCTAATCAGTTCATCATTATTTCTAAAAATAAGATCTAAGGTGTTTTCTTTCCTAGTTGGTTCTACTATTTGCTGGTTTAAGGCAAATCTGTCACACATCTGCAGGTGGTCATCTGTGTGTGACAGTTCACTTAAAACTGCTTCCTGGGATTCTCTCTGGTATAACTGTATTTGCCACATTTTTCCATTTTAGGTGGCGTAAGTTGAAGTAATTATCAAAAGGTGGCACCAAATCGGGAAGGCTATGTAGCACTATCAAATGTGCACAACAATCAGAGGGCACTAAATATCACTAAGGATGCCAATACGATAACAGAAGCGCACAAGGCGAATGATATCAAAAGTATCCGATTCACCAATACTGTAATTCTATTGAGGGATGAGCGACCGCGAGGAACGGTCGGAAAGCGAGATACACGCTCGTCCTGGAAGTCAGGACATTCAACAAGGATATGCACGACCAAAAGAGGGACAGTGCAATTTGGACAATAAGGAGCAGGGCAGCGCTCCATTAAGTGTCCATGAGTTAAGCGTGTATGGCCAATACACAACCTCGCCAGAGCCGTTTCCCATCGCCGGTTACGGTGGTAGGAGGACAGCCATGAGGACACACTACTCTTATTGGTAACAAACTGCGTACTCTTAACAGAAGATTAACAATCCTGCCAACGGGTAAGGACGGAGGAATGAATAACTGGGTAAAAGTTGGAATAAGAAATGCCTTTACAGGAGATGGGACAAAAGCGGACAGCTTCCCTAGCAGCAGTATCCGCACACTCATTTAAAGAGACATCAATATGGCTGGGAACCCAGCAAAACTCAACAGACTTAAATTTACTGGAAATAAGAAACAGCCAATGCTGAATCTCGACGACCACTAGATGGACCGGATTAAAGGACCTCAGAGCCACGAGGGCACTACGAGAGTCAACGACAACTACAAAGGAAGATTGACAATGAGAAAGCAGGAGACGAAGCGCATAAAGAATAGCATAAAGTTCTATTGAGAAGATGCTAGTCTCCGGAGGTAGGCGACACATATAAATGCTGTCAGGAAAAACAACAGAGTAGCCAACACCGTCCGCAGACTTAGACCAATCGGTGAAGATGGAAACAGAGTGGGAGTGGAAAGAAAAGTGCTCAAGGAAACGGTGTTTCAGAACCAGTAGAGGGGTAAAAGCTTAGGTGATGCGGGTCAAGGATGAACAAAACTTCGGAAGGGGGGACTCTCCACAGGGGGCAAGGAAGGAACAACACGAGGAGAAATATTAGAAATACGAACTGAAAGAATCCTGTAAGCAAGATAACCGGACAGAAAGGGGAGGTGGAAAAGAGGAACAGGACCCGAGGAGGGATAAATGTTATAGCACGACGGAGGCGAGAGGAAGGATGTTGCAAGCACCGTGCAAGATAGTGAAGACAGTAGCGATCACAGCGGTCCTGGAGAGATAGGAAGCCATTGTCAACATACAAGCTAAGGACAGGAGTCGAATGAAAGGCTTCAGAGCTGAGGCACAACCCAGTATGGTGCAAAGCATCAAGACGGCAAAGAGTAGAAGGAGAAGCAGACGAGTAAGCAGGGCAACCATAATCGTGTTTAGACAGGACGAAAGAGGAATGTAAAGCGAGGAGAGTGTGCCTATCCGCTCCCCAAGAAGTATGGGACAATACCTGAAGGAGGGTAAGGGCCTTAGAACATTCAACTCTTGAGGTAAGAGATATGGGGCGACCAAGACAAACGAGTGTCAAAGATTAACCCCAAAAGCTTAGCGGAATCCTTGTACCAAAGGGGGAGACCATAAAGCTACAAAGAGGGACGAAGAATGACACGCTTTCGAGTAAAGGTCATAGCACAAGTCTTAGACATAGAGAACCTGAAGTCCTGATCGGTGGCCCAAGACGACACGGCACCAATCGCAAGTTGAAGTCACCGCCGTTGAAGTAGAGGCGAATCATCACCCTGACAGAAAAGGGTAAGATCGCCGATACAGAGAGCGGAGAAGACGCCAGAAGGAAGAAAGGAAAGAAGACCATTGAGAGCAACAAGAAAAAGAGTAGTGCTCAGAACACTACCTTGGGGCACATCCTCGTACCGCTGAAAAGA